CATGTACACTGACACAACGTCAACTGGCAGTAGGTATAAACTATGTTTTCAGTAAATACTCAGTTTTATCAAATAAAAGGATAGATAGAGGTTGAGCCATCTAAATCCAATCTAAAACTAAAGTGGATCAGGTGGAGCATACACACTACCCAAGGAAACCAATTGCACCTATCAACAACCATTCAAATTAACTTCCTCCTTTAAACTAGTCTGTGACAAAGTGTTAGAGCGCCTTCCAAGGAAGTAACAGAGAAATAACAACTGATTTATATGCAGATTGGCTTGCCACAAGAAAGTCAAGAAAAACAAGATAGGCTTCTGCCAGAAACGCGAAAGCCCTGAGGCAGAGAATCTTTCAGTTTATCGAGACATCTCCTTACATTTTCCTTGAAGTACTGCAGATTTAAAGTAAAATAAACATTTCGACTTATTATATCACTTGGACATTTCTAGATGTATTGTGAATATATTATAAATACATGTTATTCAGCATGGCAAATTTAGTATCAGTCATCTACAGGACCTCTGGAATTGTAAAGGTTCAAATGTAAATGCATGATCAAAATGTAACCCTGGAATCAGTGGACCTTATGCAGCACACCTCCATGATTAACATTTTTCAGCCCAGTTTGAGAATAATTAGGGTCTTTCTGTGAGGAAGTGTTCCTCTTGTGCCCACATGGGTGCTCTGGGATTTTCTCCCACTTTAAATGGTCCCGTCATCGTCATGTAGAGATGTGGACATTCAACCTCCAGCTGGTCTATGGGTATTGAATAATGGCTACCCATTGATGCCTACAGTTAGGATGGGTTAAAGGATGAAGACAGGGTTTTAGGTTTAATGTATTTAGCAAATAAAATGATTCGGATTCTTCAAAAAGCAAAACAGAGCTGTAAAAGCAGACTTAAAACTCTAGAAATGAATTGTGCACGAGTATAATAATGATGTGTAATAGTGAGAGGAACCGCATAGAGAAATACAAGTGTATTTAGTAAGAGACTACACACTGTAAACGTGACTTACAATATATGAGTATATAGTAGGTGTGTTAGTGTGTGTGCTTGCAATGTGCTGTTCACTCTGTGAGGTTAGCCAGAGTGGTTAGTGAATGAGTTCTGTTTTTTTTTTTTTTGTCTTCCAGTAAGTCTTGTTTTCATTCTGTTCACATAGTTCAGATCCACAAATGACCAAACCTAGACAGGTGTACACATGCCACTGTGGCCCTTATGAACCAATCTGCAACTTCAGGAAATGAGTTGAAGCTTCAGGTTCTTTTAAAGCACAGTACTAGTGTTTTCTATGGTGTTGTCAGCATTTTTAAAATTAAATAATCTGGTGGTGTGTGCACAGTCAGCATGGTTGGAGTTCCCAGAGTTAGTTTTACTGAAGACAGAGGACGCCTCAGGCGCAATTAATTCTTGTACAATGAAGATTAATGTTAGTTATTGTTAATCAGTAAATATGATTAAACCTGACTTTGGTTTATCTTAATTTTATTGTGTCCAAGCGGAGTGTTTTGATAATGCTTTCTTTTATGGGGACCTTAATTTCCCAGTAACTCCCTAAAAAGGATCTAATGTGTAAAGGGCTGTGCAATTTGGTACTGATATATCAAAAGATCAATTATTTTAAGCTGTAAGTTTTTGAATAAAGACATTTTCTAGATCAATTTTATCTACAAAATAGAAACATCTACAAGATTAAATACAAACATCTGGATACATTTATGTCACTTAGGTTAGTGAACATGATATAATTACTTATGACATTAATTAATTACATGAAATTTAAATTACTAAATGATGATAGATGCCTCAGACTGGAAAAAAAGAATCTCGGTGGAAGTTCATTATAATATAGTTGGAACATTTTCTGATGCTATTGAAGCACAATGCAATTGTCCAAATCAAATAAATGTTACTAGAAATGTGAGACATCAGCTTAATCCACATCTTTATACAGTAGCCATGTATTTCAGTTATTAGCTAGTGATATATTGTTATTGATAGATAATCTAAGAAGGATATCAAGTCTCAAGGAGTCTATTAATTCAAATACAAACAAACTGGCTCTTGTTTTCTCAATCTAGATTTAGACATCCTGTACACATGCTCCAACAGTGTGCTTCCTTACAATATGAAGATATTCCAACAAAGCTCTGGTGAACTGCATAAACAAACTATAACACTGTGGGAAGCTGTGCAAACCAAAAGAGATTTCACTAATGATACAGCTGTAACTGAAACAGGGAAATGGCTGAGATAAACATGGAAGTCAGCTGACAAACCAAACAATCCCATCCACAATTTCACTCAGTCACACATGTCTAAATGTCTTCTGTACTGCCATGGTTCAACAGCGCAAAGAAAGCAAGAAATCAGGGGGGAAATGGGCATGGTCGGCATGCCATGGTGACGGAGCAGGGGGGGAAAAATGGAGGATGAAAAAAAGGGGGCCTAGTGTGAGGTGGCAGATTAGTCACGATGACCCTGTGACTTACATTTTCTCTGCATGCCTCACATGGCAGGGAGTGTCCAAAACCAGAAAGAACAGCTGAGAAAGCACAAGCACAAAACATCTCTCTCACTCATGCAGGCACCATAACATTCCACATCTCCACAGCCAGGAAAGAAAACTCGCTGCTCATGAATACACCAACGGTGAAGGAGCCAATTTAAACTAAAACCACATAAAAGAAGACAACCCTTAAGCCTTACATTTCTAAATATGCAGACACATAAGTAGATCCCACAGGCATCACATAGTCACGAGCCCTCGTAATAACGTGTAAGGAAGAAAGCTATAGCAGGACAGGCTGACACAGATGGATGGAAAACTAGGGAAACCCCATGTGAATCAGAAAATCCATACCCACAATACAACACACGTGATGAGGATGACATAACTGCCTTGTATGTAAAAGCCTTCATATGTGTAGCCTTTTTTCTTGAAATGCCCCCCCCAATCTTAAAACGCTAATACAAAACATTTTCAAATAATTATTATTCTGTGTTATTATATTTATAAATAACTGTTTAAAAAAACAAATCTTTCCACAGAGCCATCATACTCATTCACACATCTGGGTACAAACATGAAGTGAAAGTCTGTGTAGTTTTTCTGTCTACTTGTGTTTCCCTTCAAACAACTGTTACTGGTCAACTACAGCATATGCATGCAACTTAGATTACTGGAAATTTGATTTCCACTAAGGGGGTTAATGAAGTGCAACAAATTCACACAAACAAGTTTCATACATGGGCTTAATAAAATGGGCTTCAAAAGCGTACAAATCACAAATATAACCTGGAAAGATCCTTTGCAAGTATTCCTGTGCCAGCCACTCTTTGGTAACATCAAAATTAATAAAGTGTAAAAAAACAACCCTCCAGGTTGTATGATTCTGCAGCCCCCAGAGACAAGAAAAAGCAAGTACACTGAAATTGGCTCATTTATAGTATTTTGTTTTTAAGTGACTTCTCTCAAAAATGGCACTCCTTTCTGCGTGGAATTAATTACATGTAGAATGTAATATTACATTGCAGTCTTGTGAATGCTGCATTAGAGCCTTAATTTTTGCTCCCCATTTGCTGGGTTTTATCACCCATGAAGTGATTTTATTTATAGGTGTATACTTCAGCTGTGCACTGGTTCTGTATATGTGTGTAATTTAATACTGCTGTATGCCAATTCAGTCTCTCTTTCAATTAAACAAAAAAAAAGATCAACTCACCGAAAGTACAAAAATACATTTATCTATCTACTGTTTTCACGACTGGGTTTTTATTTTTCTCTGAGGTGAATGGAATTTCATTTGTGGTGCTCACAGCACAGAAAAATTCAACAGGAACTTGTCTTTCCAAAAACAATGTTTAGGGGACTTTGGATAATACACAGACCTCATTGTCAATGGTTTTTATTATAACTACTATTAGAGTTGTTTAATTAAAATCCCTCTCTGCTCTTTGAACAATAAAGACATAAGGAAAAAATAATAAGACAATGTTGTATTATTCAGTGAAAAGCCTTAAAGTTGCACAATAATGGCAAGAAGTACATTTTACCCTGCCATTGCTGTCACACCTTAGCCCATTCCTTATTATTTACTGCTTTGGCCTTACGTTGAACCATAATAGCTATGCCCTTTCTACTGTCAGATAATCATAAGGGGGATACTACCAGTCTGCTTGGTAACCCATGATTGCTCTTCTTTAAAACTTGTCATCATAGCATATTTTAATCATCAGCTCAACCTAAATAGGCTTCAGATTAGAAATGCATTGGTCTGTGACATTACATTAGCTCCTTTTCATATGATTCTAACTATAAGGGGTTGGCTGGATGGACACAAAAGCGAACAGAAATAGAAAATGCAAATGATTGATAGTAACCATCTGGTATGGTAGGTAAATCACACGTATTCTGAGGTAAATACAGAATACGTGTGAGTAGAAGCATGCACCTTCACTTCACTGTCCTTGACTGAGAATTTCCCATCCTGAACTGAACGTGTTAGTCCAGTTGTATCTGACACTTAAATTATTCACACTACTTTGTGGACTCTGGAATGACTAAAAACATTACTTTAAAAGATTCTGGGTTTATCTAACAGTGATTTGAAGATGCGGTGTGAAAGAATGTTAATTTACAGTGTCTTATTAATGACATGCCTTGACAGGAATGGGGCAGGTACTGTTGCAGTCGTCTAGACAACACTGGCCTTTAATCAGGCTACTCTATGGTAAATTTGGCAAGGCTGAATACACATGGAGCACAGGATGAAAGAAGTGGGTGGGAGGCATGGTCCTTCCCTCTGATAAGCAAGTAAAAGAGCGAGTGGGACAGATGGAAACAACAAAAGGGACATTTTTAAAACTACAATGCACCGAACTGTTTGATGAATAAGTGTTTTCATAGTGCTGTGCACTATACTTTGTCAACAGTACTTTAAGACAAATATAATATATGCCAACATGTACAGCAGACATCTGAAACAAACCTGGGGAAAGTCTCCATTCCTGGGGAGGTTGAGGCCGGAAAAGTCCACATCGGGGAATACAGAGTACATGTCCATGTGCACATCCGGAGTGGTGGTGGTAGTGCTGCTGTTCAAGTGGTATTGCCTGAATGGGAAAGAAGAAAGTTAGTTTAGTTTGTTTTTTTTAACCTCTACTTAGCTTTTACACCTTGCAGGGGCCACATAAAACCACAAGCTTCAACCTTGACCTTCAACTGTGCAATATGCAACTCCAGTAGAGAAACGAAAGGGGCACTGAAAAGCACCCCATGTGATCAAGTCAGGGCAGTGGATGAGGTTGTCTAAAGATGGTAATCTATATTGCACTGTAACGCTTAAATACAATTAACTAACGCTACACTGCTGCATTACATCATGTATGTCGAAATTCCAACACAATACAAAAGCCTGAAAGGTGGAAATACTTTCAGTTTTTTTAATTGAGTCACAGCCTGAAAATTTAATTATAGAACAGAAGACTGGTGGAGGGAAGCTATTTGCTGTTGTATGTTTCTAAATTTAAGTGTCAAAGAATGAATGACTCACTATAAAACTAGTAAAGCCAATAAAGTAGCAACTCCAAGTGTTAAAGATACAAGAAGGATAACAGAAACACATATCTTAGCTCACACAGGCAAAAGAGGTTTAAATGAGGTAGAGGAGAGAAAGAGAAGTCAAAATACAGCCGTCAACAGAAAGTCAAGGAAGGGAGCTCCTACCCGCTCTGAAGATCCAAACCAACCATTCTCTTTTAGCCCAGTGTTAATATCAGACCGCAGACCTTGTATATCCAGCTTAAGATATTTTCAGTTTCTTGCTGTGTACAAGTCATCATAACGTAACAACCAACTTTGCTGACCGTGGTGGAGACGCACTCAAAACGAAAGCAAAACTAAACCTTTGTTAAGGTGGAACTAGAACTGTACCGTCCCACATTCCTCTCCTCCAATCGTGTGCCAGGGCTCAGGCTCACAGGGATTGAGCTTGGCCAAAGCTATTCACAGGATTTGGCTCAACCACAGGCCAGAGATCAGTGAGACTGATTGATTTTAAGTTCAAAACACACCAGCAGGATAAAAGGGTAGCCTTTAGCGAGTGTATAGGAGCCAGTCTATGAAAACCTGGTTCCTGTGATTTTTTTTGGTTGAATATTCCAAACACACAGCAAAATTCAATATCTAACCATGACCATGTTCAAATGCTAAATCTTTGGTGAGTATCTGTGTTCAAAGTCATCTTGTAGATAACCACATATATCACCGGGTCACGATGTAAACAGCAGGTTTTGATTTGGGTTTTCACTCCTAAAAAAGAAACCGTGATCACAAATGGTTGTTAAAAATACAACCATTTTAATGATATTTGCTATGGCTCTGTTTTCTGTAATCAAACAAATAAGAAGTTAAATGTGACAATCAGCTTTTAGGCAACACACTGGAAAAAGCCAGATTAATTATTGTAATCATGATGAGTGGTGAAACTAAATTAGAAAACAAAAAACCATGGTTGTATAACTCTGCCTATTTGTCAAATTTTACATCCATGTCTGTCCAGACTCATAATGTATAAAGTGAATACTTGGAAAAGTAATAAATTTAATAAAAAGTTTACAAAAGTAAAAGTGGCTTTTGTGTCTGAATGGGAGTTATCCCTACACTGATGACACGTGTAGGATTCCATCTGTGTAAAAATGTTGGCATTATTACCGTTTATTAGTTGTGGCCAAAAATGTGTAGTTATTTTTGAGCCTTTTAATCAAAAGTGTCACAAATTTATTGTCTGACCAACTGTGAAATATGGTTACCAATTCTTGAATTCTAGCCAAATTATGGTCACAGTGAGCTTGACCTTTGACCACCAAATTCTAAAACCAGTTCTTCCTTGTGTCCAAATGGAGAAATTCCCTCAAGTCGTTCATAAGATATCGCGCTCACAAGAAAGGGACGGACAGACAGACAACCTGAAAACATAATGCCACCAGGCATGAAAAAAAAAAAAGTCATGAGATCATACTGGTAAACAATCTGGTTAGTTCTCAGAAATATCACAGCACTGCATGGTAACAATCATCCATGCTGGAAATCCCCTTCTTGGCCCTTTAGCAAACAGCGATATGACCGTGATATTATTACAGCAGAAGTCTTGGCAGGTCGGCATCAGCTGCTTTCCAACAACACAAAGCTGGTTAGGGACTCTCAGCCAAAAGGAGCTGATTGACTTACTATTTGTGTACATTTAGCCTTTCTATAATACGCAGCCTGTGGCTGTGTACAGGATCATCATTTGAATCATTTTATTGTTTAACAATCTCTTAATTGAGGCAAAAAAAAAACAACAACAACAAAAGTCACACACTTTACAGAGATACCTCGTTATCTTGCTGGCTCTAAGTGGTTAAAATGATTTACAATGAGTGCTTTTAATGACTTATTTCCTGACATACAGTCTACATTTGTTGACAACTTCATAATTGGGGACTTAACGTGTTGAAACTACTGCACATTTCAAACATTATAATGTTCAGTCATACAGTTTCCTGTTGCAGTTCATCGGGAATGCAGCTCTTCAAAATAAACTTAACTACCAACTAGGCAACACCTCCACTGCAGTACTTGCAATAATTTTAACTCAAGATATTAAAGTCCAAATTGAAAATAACAAAATAAGCAGGGATACTTATTTTAGCAGGGATACTGCATACATGTAGATCTTAAGTTTCCCTTTAAGTACTGTAAAGACAGACATACCCTATTAAATCACAATGTTACCCAAAGATACTACTTTTATGTATTTGTAAGGAGTGTAATAGCGTGGCACTGTTAGTGCTGTTTCTGGTTGAGAAAAAGTGAAAATGTCCCCATTTATGCAATGCACAGCATGTTTCACTCTCAGTCTGAGCAGGTTAATATTTTACACTTACAGAATTAGTGTTCAGAGTGTATTTTCTGTTCAGTTTTGAGTTTTAATGCAGTTTGATTCCACCTTCTAAGAAATGTTTCTTACAGATTAGAAATATAGATATATTAACCAGAAGAGACTATGTCACATTTTCTGTAATTTCAACAGAACTCATCAGTATTTATTAAAAGACAAATGTTCCATAAACTTCCCTGGGAAGAAACAGTATAATACTACTTCCATAGATAGACATTTATCAAAGTGTAAACCATGACTCGCAACAATCAACAATTGCCAAGATTCCTTGGAAGAACTCTTCCTTACAGCCTGCACAATAGGGAAACTGAACTCTCATGCTGTCAACAGTGTGCAATAAGTCCACTCCAGTCTGGCTACAGGCAGAACCAACAGTGAGTAACTCAGAGGAGGCATCACTGCTTCAAAAGAAAAATAGTTCCAATAGTAGGAAAAAGGTTCTGATGGTTTTTCAGCAAATGTCTTTGAAATGAAGTCTATGGTAAGGAAATTATGTTCAGTGCTATGGAATATAACGTAGTTATTTTCCACAGAGTCATGTTGACCTTTAATACTGCATGCAATCTGAGCCTTCAAGATTGATAACTTAAGAGTTTGTAATAGACAAATCAGAAATAAACTAGACATAAAAATAGCAGCAGATCATGGTTTTGTTTCTTATGCTGTAAATAAAAATCTAGACTTCGGCTGTGTGGGTCTGACCTAACCACAGATTAACACAAACTGTTACTGTTGCTTGTTAAAAATGATTCAAAACAGTGGGCCTTATTATTCCTCTTTAAATTGTTTGCAAAACATTGAATAAGACAAAAACGGGAAACCCCAACATCAACATAATAATCAGTGTAGTGTGTTTTCCTGCATTACGTCGTAATGCTCTTGTATGAACAGTGTAGCCCGTAAGTTGTGGAAAAGTGACATATTTTTCATTGTGAATATGAGTAAAATCTGCTGATTTTCAGCATTGAGCGTGTTTGAGGACGTGAACATCCAGAACAGACCCACAAGCACCAACAACAGGTGTACCGACAGAGCACCTCCAGGGAAGATACCGGGCATTTAGTGATGTTTATGGGCGCTAGACTTCAGTCGTTTATTCAGTTGAGTTGATGAAGTTGAAGTTGCACTTTGGCCAGACTCCTTAAAAAGAAGATGACACGTAATTTTCACAGTTTACACGGTGCTTTTGGAAGGGGAACGAGTATAAATAAAATGTTTTGATGTACTGTTTTCATGCATAATTCTCCAACACACCTGCAGTGAAAACTGTACAGAATAATTTATATTAACGGCCAAGTTTGTAGTTCACAGAAGCAGGGTGGTTTCTGTGGTTATTTTTTAACAGTATGGCACTGGTTCCACAGAATTTAACCAGCAGAACTGCTGCTCTTGATTGTGGCTTGACAGTACATGTCATCAAGCAGAGACTGACAATGAACAGATATCTGCAGATGGAACGAGACTCACTGGGCTAAAGCTAGGGCCATCAGCAAGGGTTACTAGCTGTTACTGGATAACAGATGGCGGTCACATTAACTCATCAATCTTTATTATGTCTCGCTGGAATTAATGTCATAATCAGAGTAAAACTGTAGCCTATTTTTTTGGTGTTATAAACTGGTTTAAGACAGACACAGAATCAAAGTGTTACTTCCCAGACCTGTTCCCATTCTGCTAACTCCACATACAGTAGTGATGTTTTTATCACTACTCACAAGAATAGTGTCTGTAGTGAGGGATGCACGTCAGTCGGTGTATTAGTCTGTGCAATGAGAGCACCGGCCCATTCACATTTTTTCCCTCCCTGGTGCTGTGTGATCTATTCACTCCACTGCTTGTTCTCAATGGCCATGTGAGCAGACAATTAAGGGCTTTCAAGTTCAATCAATTACATCCTGACTTCATAGCGCAAGGCGATCACACTAAGCAGCAGCCTGCTCGGTAGTGAAAAAGAGGAGCGAATACAGGGTCATGTGAAAAAGAGCCTGACTGAATATCAGAAGTACTGAACCGAGTGAAGAAAACAGGACTAGGAAGAGATGGAAAAACTGGACCTTTAAGACCTCTGTCCTGTTTACTTAGTCAAAGTGAGGGCAGAGAATTACTGTAGCAAAATGTTCCTGGTCTATAAGAGAACATGTCTGCTCGGTCACACTAAGACAAAATATTTACTGACAGAGAATAATGCTCAATAAACACCTTTGCAGAACACAGGACATTGTTGCTGCTAGATAAGGGCCTTTACCTACAGTAATGAAGTCCCAAGATGATCACACCAATCTTGTTCTAAACCACAGTCTCATCATGACATTTATCGTATTTGTATATAGTAAGATGGAGAGTTTGAGAAGGGTCTTGTAAAATCAGCCTCATGTCAGAAAATTCTACTGTGAGTGAATCTGAAAACTACAGTCTGATCTGATGCTTGAACTTTAAAAGAAAGCTCAGACAGCAACAACAATACAAATCACCACTACTTCAGCAAACACTTCCTGAGTTGTGTTTAGTATGATGCAGGTTTGGGGATGACTACATTAAAGTCATTTTAGAGGTTTTGCCTCGAGGAGCATGGACCGTCATCTTTAAAATAAAAAGTCATTATCTATTGTCTCACAAAACAGATGCATTAAAAACAATACCGTGCTGATGTGTCAGAAAGCCCTATCATGATAAATATCAGTCTCTTAAAACATTTTTAACAAGAAATGAAAACTGTGTCACAGCTGTGTGCCATTAAAATTAGCATTAAAATGATTCCACTGAAAGACAATATTATGTAGTTAGTGCCCAGCCCTAATGCAGACACACGTTCATACAGAAAACCTACATGACCCATTCAGAAGACACCGCTATTACAGTTAATACCCATACTCCGCTGTTCATAGAGACTGCTACACGCCAGAAATACTTCACCGTTGTTTCAGTCTCTCTCATTTGCTTGCTCCCTTACTCTTTTTGACTAGTCATCGAGTCGCTGACATGGCGTTTAAGTGTCAATAACATAAAAAACGAACTTTCCATCCCTAATAGAAACAACTGTTCAGCAAAGCTGAACAAAGGTCACACCGGGATCCAAGCTCCACTACACCGTAGCCACGTAAGAAAATGCATGTTGACAAATTCAGTTAGATAGTTCAGCTGTGTTTTTCTGACTACACTGAAAGGGTACTGGGGCTGTGACTGCAATCCTTTGGCTCTATGGATGCAGTGTAGACACTGACAAGGCCTGCAGCTGCTTCTGCTCTGTTGCCGAGCATCTTACGGTACATGGTCGGTGTAGACCAGATGTTGCAAAGCCTTTGAATAACACATTCACACATGCAAACACACACACACACACACACACACACACACACACACACACTTACGGGGGAGGAAAGAGACAAACACCTCTCATTTGAGGGTGAGGCCATAAAAACAGAGCAGAGTTGCGAGATTAACCCCCCCCCCCCCCCCCCGGCGTAAGGGTGACTCCAGGCCACCCACTACAGGAAATGAATGAGATCTGATAAAGGAGACCACCCCCACTGACTGGTGGTGTAACAGCAGGTTAAAAGTGATTTATTGGCCTGATTGCGTTAAGTCACTTGAGGTGACAGGAATTTGATGATTCAATCTAAAACAGACTTCTTTTTGTTTTTTAGAAACACTCAAACTTTTTGAAGCATTATGGTGCAGCTACAGTTTGTATTGTAGAGCATCACATTAATCACTAGACACAAACATAGCCTCGAAATTACTCAATTAAGAGTGAGGCAGCATCACTTACATCCTAGTTCAAGCACTAACCCACACAATTCTACTTCTATTTGAATATTTTTGAATATAAATATATTCCTAGGGAGTATTACTCCTACGGTAAAATATTTTTTATCACAGAATGCACAATTGTGAACTTATGGTATTTGTCCTGTATAATGTTAACACTGTTAATGACTTAAACTGGTGTTTATTCCTTTTAATGACTTTAATGCAAGTCTACAAATAAAAGGGAAGCGTGTTTGTTTGCCATGTGGATGTCTTGGGCAATAGCGCATTAGTCAAATATTCACAACATTTGCAAAACCTTCACATGACACCCTCAACACAAACACCGCACTCATAATAACATATAACTGAATAATACTTCAGTACCGGAGCTATTAGGACATTTTGTTAGCTCAAGTGTGAAACCCCTGTGGGTAGTTATCGCCCAAATTCAATGGTTTACAGGCCTCAAGCTAAAGACCAACACCTGTAGTGGGGTACTGAACATGGTATTTGTTATGGAACACACCCCCACCATGTACAGTATGAACTACTGCACAATGGGCTATTTACTGTGTCTTCATTTGTCCTGTGTTCAACTGACATGATGCAAGTCACTGTCAAACATGTTTGTAACTTACTGGTTTCCAGATTGCATAGGGCAGTGTATGCTGTATCCAGCCTGCTGAGAGTAGGGTCCCCAGGAACCAGAGGAGGCATATATTGAGCTCTAAAACAAAACAAAATGAAAATCTGTCATGTTTTGGGAAAAAATGCATAGAAACATAAGACAGAACATCTTAAGAACAACAGAGCTTCCTCATAACACAAACAATAAAAGGTTCAATGTGTTGATCCCTCTAGCGATGAATGTTTTGGCAAAAATAACCTTGTATCAAATTTAATTTGCTATGTTTAAAATTCAGAGCAAGAAAATTATATCACCACCATCACACCAGTGCATTTTGCCATGCACTATAGAGAAAAACTACATGTATTCATATCCACAACAAATCACATTTTTACTCCACAGGGTCTTTTGGAACTACTGTCATCATCAAAAATGCAACTGATGAAAGAGAGTGTGCTGACTCAATTTTGTTTCAATGTAGTTGTATAAGCCCTTAAAAGGTCAGTTCAGCCAAATCACAATAAATATTTTCACTACTTATCCATAGCAATTTTGACCAATCACTGCAACTTTTCCGCAAATCTGACCTATCATCGTCATTTCCAGCAAAACATTGTCAAATATCAGCAATTTCACTTCCTTGTTAACAAGACGCAGCAGATGTGTGTGGTGTCTCACATTTGCCTGCAAAAATTAAAGCAAACGTTTATTTGCGCAGTATTGTACTTGAACATAGAAGGAAATCGTCTATTGACAAACATTTGCCACAGGCTGTCTAAAGCGCTGAAAGAATCAAGGTAAGCTGGTATAAATATGCATGGTCAGAGGTAACATTAATGTAGTTTATCAGACTGGAAAGGCGTTGCCTACTTTCTTGTTTGCATGACACTGAAATCTTTGTGTGTTATTTAAGAACATAGTTTTAGGAACAAAAAAGTCAAGTGTCAATTATTATTATTATTATTATATACTTCTACAAATAACATCTATTTAAGATCTAGTTTTAACTTATTTCCCCAATTTCATCGCATAAAAATGCCCAAGAACTTTTCCAAGAACAACTTTCATCCCAATTTTGTTTAGAAAAGCTGCTGCAAAATCAGGCATTTTAGGCCACAACAATTACAAAAACGGCCTGCAAAATCCTGGGGATTGCCTAGTGATATCTAGACAGGTAGATAGTTTCAGTTTTATGAACCAAGACTTTGAGAAATTCTCTGGATTTGCTGTCGCTACCTCATTACAGAGGAGGGGAGTGGAATTTTATTAGTGGTGCTTAAAAAATTGGGACTCTTTGGTAGAGATTTCTTCCAATTAAAACTGAAATTGGCATTTTCCCAATTAGACTGTTCAATACTGTGGGCACCAAAAACAAAATTGCATTCACCTTTATTGAAAATAATCATGTGACAGTAGAAATCTCAGAAGGCAGATAACTTAAAACTTAAAACTAAAACAGCTGCATGCCCAGATGCCACTAAGGATACGTGAGAAAATCTGTGACATGACCCGTTAATATTTCGTCTCATCTACATGGGAACTGCAAATTAAGTCAAAAGCAGCAGTGGCTGGAAATTATTACCCAAAGCAAGATCACTTCCTTTCTCACACATTTCTAGATGACTGTTCCGCCACATATAAATCATACTCACCTCTGCTCAGATGTGTTACAGTAAATATGTGTTTTTAAGTTTACGTATTATGATGCTGGATATGAGAAAAGTGCAAAGATAAGGGCCAATACGTTCAACCCAGTATAACTTTGTCAGTATGTCATTCAACACTGTTGAACAGCATTGTTATGTATTTGTACATAGCACACCTCCATGTTAGAGGGGGCCACAGAGAACAAGCTGCTGTCCAGCTGAGGGCCTTCTGGATGCAGGTAGTTATCCCCGTCCATGACCAGCGCTGCGGGCAGGGTGGGCATCAGACCACAGCTTCACACATGACCACCAGCTGACTTAGACTATGCACCCTCCGACCGCCAACCACGTGCTCGCTGTGTCCGAGATAGTCCTTCTAACAGAGGCAAACGTTCTCCATGACCTGAAAAAGACAACAGATATGAAGGGATGTAGAAGGAAGGGAGAGAAGGGCAAAGAGACATTAGAAGAGTTGCAAAGACATTTTTCCAGCAAACGTGCCGATCAATATCACGTCAAAACTTTGGGAGTGTTTGAAAGCATGTGGGAAAAATAAATAAATGATTGAGGTCTAGGCAAATGCTAGACATCTATGACTTATTTAACCGAAAGTCAGTAAAGGAAAGAAGGCAGTACTACCAATAAATATCAAAGTGTGACTCATCTCACTTCTTTTAGAGCACATCTTGATTAATAATCAACAGTGGCATTAAAGAACACACAGTGAAAAAGCTGAAACAATGGCCTACAATGGAATGGAGACAAAGCACATTTTAAGTCAACTTATTATTATAGGCTCTAACACTTCAAACAGTAAACAAAAACATAAACAAGAGGTCTTAGAAAGTGTAATAAGTCTGCAACAGAACACAAGACATGGATTCAGACATATTCACTCCTGAAGAGTTCATAAGGTATGAAAATAAAGAATATAACAATATCTGAATTAATGTTTTAGTGCTTGTTAAATCAATAACCTTTATTTTATGAAGCAAAACTACTTGGTCTTCCTTTTCAAGACTAATTCTAGTTGCCCTTGTCACCACACACACTAAATTCAGATCATATTCATAATGCCACGTGAGCTTATATTTGCTGATTGACAGCTCTCATTAGCTGGTTGTCATCTGACATCACTGAAGGTTCACTGAGTGCCAATTACAATCATGGCAAGATGTCCACAACAGAGCGAACAGGCTGGTGTGCAAAGGGTCAACTGATTCAAGTGACATAATATGCAACACAACTTACTCCATGTCATAGCAGATTGTCTAATTTTGTGTTATTAATACTGTATATGTGTATATATGTGTATTGGGAAACTGACTACAATGACCTACTTTCTTCTGATATGGTTTCACACAGAGTATAAATAAGTTGAGTAAAAAGCTGGCAACTTATACTTAAGTTTCTCCAATAATGTCTATTAAGTCTGCTTTAGAAAGGCATCTAAATGCATTTTGTGGGTAAAATACAGTGGGTACGGAAAGTATTCAGACCCCTTTACATTTTTCAGTCTTTGTTTCATTGCAGCCATTTTCCAAAAATCAAAAAAGTTCATTTTATTTCTCAGTAATGTACACTCAGCACCCCATCTTGACAGAAAAAAACAGAAATGTAGAAATTTTTGCAAATTTATTAAAAAAGAAAAACTGAAATATCACATGGTCATAAGTATTCAGACCCTTTGCCGTGAGACTCATATTTAACTCAGGTGCTGTCTATTTCTTCTGATCATCCTTGAGATGGTTCTACACCTTCATTTGAGTCCAGCTGTGTTTGATTATACTGATTGGACTTGATTAGGAAAGCCACACACCTGTCTATATAAGACCTTACAGCTCACAGTGCATGTCAGAGCAAATGAGAATCATGAGGTCAAAGGAACTGCCTGAAGAGCTCAGAGACAGAATTGTGGCAAGGCACAGATCTGGCCAAGGTTACAAAAAAATTTCTGCTGCACTTAAGGTTCCTAAGAGCACAGTGGCCTCCATAATCCTCAAATGGAAGACGTTTGGGACGACCAGAACCCTTCCTAGAGCTGGCCGTCCGGCCAAACTGAGCTATCGGGGGAGAAGAGCCTTGGTGAGAGAGGTAAAGAAGAACCCAAAGGTCACTGTGGCTGAGCTCCAGAGATGCAGTCGGGAGATGGGAGAAAGTTGTAGTAAGTCAACCATCACTGCAGCAATCCACCAGTCGGGGCTTTATGGCAGAGTGGCCCGACGGGAGCCTCTCCTCAGTGCAAGACACATGAAAGCCCGCATGGAGTTTGCTAAAAAACACCTGAAGGACTCCAAGATGGTGATAAATAAGATCCTCTGGTCTGATGAGACCAAGATAGAACTTTTTGGCCTTAATTCTAAGCGGTATGTGTGGAGAAAACCAGGCACTGCTCATCACCTGTCCAATACAGTCTCAACAGTGAAGCATGGTGGTGGCAGCATCATGCTGTGGGGGTGTTTTTCAGCTGCAGGGACAGGACGACTGGTTGCAATCGAGAGGAAAGATGAATGCGGCCAAGTACAGGGATATCCTGGACGAAAACCTTTTCCAGAGTGCTCTGGACCTCAGACTGGGCCGAAGGTTTACCTTCCAACAAGACAATGACCCTAAGCACACCGCTAAAATAACGAAGGAGTGGCTTCACAACAACTCCGTGGCTGTTCTTGAATGGCCCAGCCAGAGCCCTGACTTAAACCCAATTGAGCATCTCTGGAGAGACCTGAAAATGGCTGTCCACCAACGTTTACCATCCAACCTGACAGAACTGGAGAGGATCTGCAAGGAGGAATGGCAGAGGATACCCAAATCCAGATGTGAAAAACTTGTTGCATCTTTCCCAAAACGACTCATGGCTGTATTAGATCAAAAGGGTGCTTCTACTAAATACTGAGCAAAGGGTCTGAATACTTATGACCATGTGATATTTCAGTTTTTCTTTTTTAATAAATTTGCAAAAATTTCTACATTTCTGTTTTTTTCTGTCAAGATGGGGTGCTGAGTGTACATTACTGAGAAATAAAATGAACTTTTTTGATTTTTGGAAAATGGCTGCAATGAAACAAAGAGTGAAAAATTTAAAGGGGTCTGAATACTTTCCGTACCCACTGTATATACAAAAAAACTGTACTGCCAGCCTCAAAGCTTAACAAATATTCTACACATCTCACCAGTTTGACTGCTAAATCACTCCAGTGTCTCAGCACTCCACAATGCATGTCTGTGTAACGTCAGAAACACACCCTTGCCCCAAACTAATCAAACTGTTACCTTCCTTCCCCTCTGCCTTCCTTCATTCCTTCCTCCAGTTTGCCCTCAATCTGGAACAGGCCAGACGTGTTCACTGGGGACAAAGCTGAGGTAATAAATCCTAATCGAGTTCATGAGGGTCTAAATAAGGGGGTCTTTGTGCGGCTGAATGAGTGCATGTGAGTGTGTGTTACAGAGAGACAGAGACCTTACCGAACATATTCACCACTCGCACAACCAATATACACAAAAGGGAGGCCATTTTACCTTCAGGCTGCCAGTGTGATACTGTGTGGATAACGATGAAGCCAGTGAGGGGAAGCCCAATGCAAAGGACCAACTGGCAAACTTTCTAGGCAGGTCTTCAGCAAAAGGATATTTTCTTAATATGTATGGACAGCTTCCAGCCTCCAAGGTCCAGATGAAGGCAGAGACAGGAAGGCAAGGCAGCTTCTGGCAGTCAGGGAGTGAGTACTGAGAGCTTTGTGAAGCACCTTTGGTGTTGCAGAATTGAACTCAACGCAACACCCTAAGGACACTGAAAGCTTCGATGCGTCAATGATTTTTCAGCATCTTGCCATTTTATCTGCGTCAAAGGTCTCGGAATATTCCTATAGTCCTTTCAACCCAACAAGCACACATACAAGCACACTACATGTGAACCCAGATCAGATACGAGAGTTAGTTCTTCAAAACTAAGGGTGCTCCAATCGATTGGTCATGATCGTAATCAGCCAATAATGGCTTTAACTAGTTTGATCGGTGGTCTCTGAAAAGGCCGATCAGAAAAGCCGATCAGATGATGCAATACTCGGCAGACAAATTTTCAATGGCAGCTAAAATGGTTTCACTATGTGGTCTGAGCAGTTTTCAAAGCTAGCTAGCACCAAAGTCCTTTTCATACAGGGGGAAGTGATTGATGCACCCAGTTAATCATTTACAATGAGAATTGAGCAGCAATCAGACAAGCGGAGCAACAAGCAGGAGCGATTATGTGAAACTGTCGTGGCTGTGCTCATCTCATTCACACACACACGCCGCCCGCTACCAGAGTTTATTGGTAGTTTGTTTTTAGTTTGTCTTGACCCACAGCAAATCAGGCAGAGAGACACTGATCCTTCAGTGTGAGTTTCTTGATGCAAAGGGAGAGGGACCGTTTAGCAGCTCACAGTGGCGGTCTGGCCATCTGGAGTACCGGGACAATTCCTGGTGGGCCGGCTGCCCTCCGAGCCGGTGGACCGCCCTCCTTAGCCTATACCCCCCTTCTCCCCAGGCTTGTTGATCTATTCCATATGAACGTCTATGCAGCCCATAGCCTCGCCCCTTCGGTCTCAATCACACACACCACAGTACAACTGACAGCTGGAAAATGTTAAAGGCTGGGCAGAAAAGTTCAGAGACAAAAGAGTCAAAAGGTCTCAGCTGAAATGCAAGTAAATGTAAAAAAGTAACCGAGTCGTTCCGTAATAGTAGTAGTACCAGGGCCACAGACACTAAGACACTAAGAAGAGGAAGATGCCACAGCTCTGTTCACGGGTGAAAGATTAGACAGAGAGAACAGCCAACCCAGCTGAACGGTATGCGTATAAATGTGTTAATATAACGTGTTATCAGACTCTCAGTGAAATGCAAATGTTGTTGGTCAGCTACTGTTTTTAAATGTACCAGAAAGAAAGAACTGAGGTAAAGAATATAGTAACTGTGTCTGCAGACTGGTGTTCTGTCGATGTATGCTACCTATTGAGTTGTGCTACTTAGCAGTTCTGCACATGCGCATGACCATCAAGCGTGGCCTTTTACCACGCCCATTAATCTGTGCACCCTTGCTGTCGGGCATGCCATCGAGACTGAGGCTGATCGTGAGCAATATCTAATAAAAATCATTATAAGTCTATCTGAATTCGCTACTCCGGAACTCTTAAATAAAGATGTTATAATATAGTATTTCAACATGCTCCCCATCTTCTTACAGTACACATGGATTGAGTAGTGGTGCAGTATAAAATGATTCTGTAGTAGGAGCGTTATTTGATAGGGGATATTAGTCTATCAGAATACGCTACCCCTGAAAACAGTTGCCTTGATGTCATAATACTGTGAGTCGGCCTGTACTGTGCGTTATACCTTTATGGGTTAGGAATTGGGAACACATAA